AGGTATGGATTTGCAACCTAAGGGAGAAAAGTAGGCTTTGTCAAAGGAAGTCACTGAGATGCCTCCCACATCTTCCTACCCCTAAGGCTGGATCCTTCTGAATAGCTGGCTGCGTAAATCCCAGGCTTCCTAGCTAACATGGGAAAACGACATCTTTTTTTGAAACAAATTTTATTGTTTTTTTTAATTCTTGAAACAAAGTGCTCAAGACATACCGTGGTGCTGGAGTAATCAAACATCCAAAATAAAACCATATTTGAATAACTCGAGTCAATACATCAAATATTCCCTCTCTATTTCCCTCAAATAGTTTAATATATTTAAGATAATCCATTTCTAATTTAAATTTCTATTAATTCTAAACCTGTTTTGGAGCTTTATGAATTTACAATTACCATAATCAAATTTAACTTTAAATAAACACATTATCAATTCAGGTATCCCTTTCAGGTATATTCTAGTTCCTTAATTTTATCATAAGTCTTGTTTATTTCTTCTTCCACTAATATCTCCTAATTAAAATAAAATATTGGTCTATCTTATACATATCTAATCCATCCATCAATCAATCTCTTTAAGATAACAAGGCAATATCAAACCTTAAATCATTTCAGTCCATTGGATGAGATTCAAATTTCATCCAGTTAATTATCATACCTAATAACATCTATATTATCAAACAAAAACATCATCTTATTAAATTAACATTCAATTAATTATTAAGTCAATCCTGATCTAAAACACCTCTTCAATTTTCTTCGTTCCATTACATAATAGTTTTCATACAAATAAACCTATTATTCCAAAGAATACATTCTTAATCTATTTAATATATATATATTCTAATAATCACCCATTTTTCTCTTTCTTCTAACTTAAAATCTTAATCCTTAAATCAATCCATAGTTCTATAGTGCCTTTGATCTATTACATATAATTTTAAATTTCTCTTTTCAGTCTTATTCTGGCCTTCTTTTTGTGCCAGGCAGGTTTCCATAATAAAGCTTCCCTTTCAGACAATAGGTCTCTCTTTATTGCTTGTAATATCATTTGAGACAGTAAAAGGCATCCTGACCTCTGCATTGCACATCTATTTCTCTTATCCTTAAAGCCTCGCTGCTTTAAAAGTTCAAATCTTAGTCTTTGATTTTTCTGATCCTCGAAGATATAGATGAAATGCTTGTAAGATAAAATAAATTCCTCCTTAAATCTCAGTTGATTCCTCTTCTAGTATGTTTTGTTTGTAGAATGGTCAGATGTAGTCTGAAAGTCAGTTTGAAAGTTTGGGGTAGAGTTTCTGGCTCTTAATTCTGTAGTAATCTCTTTCATTGTGGCACATTTCTTCAGTAGCCTCATAAATCTGGAAAACGACATCTTGATGAGAGAATAAGGTTGTACTCCAACCTACTGTTCCATCCCAGCCTACGTATGTCCTTGTTACTTCACAAAGACGACCCCTCTTTTAACAGTAGACTGGAAAATAAACCCTTTTTATTTGAGTTAACAGACCTGATCATTGTCCCAGAAAACCAAAGCAACAGAACACTTTTCCAATGGAGACCTTGTCCAAAAGCAAAACAGAGCACGAATCAAACAGGAAATAACTCACAGACAAAATAAACAGACCATGGTCTCTTGACTCTGAAGTTCTTTGCAAATGGTTACCTCCAGCCACCAGCCCTCCCCACACATTCCCTTTTTGTTATGCAGCCCCCAAGGTGTGGCTTCTCACTGCTTTCTCCTCTTCCCCTGGAGTCGCCTCATTGCCTCCCTCTGTCCTACTCCTGTGACCTGTCTACGTTTACGAGCATCTCTGAGGTCTTCCAGCTGTGCTTCTTCTGAGTCCGACTCAGCTTCCCAGCACAGCTGGCTCTCAGCTTGATCACGAGTGGAAGGATCAGCCTGTTCATCAGATTGTAAGTCCTGGAGCTCATCAGAGCCTTCCTCTGACTCTGATGGCTCTCCAGGCCCCCTCCTCCTCCTCTGATTCCCCAGACTCAACTACCGAGATCACAGGCTGGCACGGAATCACAACACCTACATGGAAGGAGAAGTTTGAAGCAGACTCATCTCAGAGTTTTTTGATAGACTGAACTACATAGAACACAGAATCCTAGGCCTGGAAGGGGTGACACAGGTCTTCTGATCCAACCCCCTGCTCAAGACAGGAGACCTTATATCATCCCAGTCAAATGTCTATGGAGACTCTCAGTCATCCGGGTCATGGTTGTCCCAAAGGTGCTTTTTTCCTAGAGGCAACTGGACTGTCTTGTTTTTCTTTGTAGACGTTTCGCTTCTCGTCCAAGAAGCTTCTTCAGCTGTGACTGGATGGTGGGGAATGGAAGGATTGATACTACTTGCAGACAGCTGGTCATTTGCCTTCCTTTAGAGCAGTGGTTCTCAATCTTTTTAATGCCGCGACCCCAACCGGTCGTAAGTCGAGGACTACCCAACCGGTCGTAAGTCGAGGACTTTCCCTGCCCGGGAGCGCCGCACAGGCATGGTGCTACCCCCTGCGCTGGCCGAGGCATAGCTGGCAAGGGGCAGCGATGGCGCAGGGTGACCACCGGCTGGGCCACCAGCTGGCCCAGCCAAAGGGAGGTAAGGCACCCGTCGGGCCTGACACGCGCCAGCAACCCTCCCTGCGCCCGCCAGCCTCCCACCTCCCACCCCTGGCCCTCCTTTACTTACATAGTTGCTCAGCAGGGAGGGGGTGGAAACTTCCAGACAGCTGGCCTTCGCTGCAGACAACTTGCAGCACCGTTTGCAGAATGGGACTTTTGGCAGGCTCAGCAGGGCAGAGACAGCCTGAACAATTCCTATTGGCTTTTGAAAGCCAATAGAATTAGATTCTATTCAAGAGAGTCTATTCTATTGGCTTTCAAAAGCCAATAGAATAAAAGGGGGTAGCACAGCTAAGGAAAAGGGGGGGAAAATGGTGGGCTGCGTTGTTTGGCGATCCCCGGTGAAATGGTCGATCGACCCCAAATGGGGTCCCGACCCACAGGTTGAGAACTGCTGCTTTAGAGAGCCGTTGAGGCCATTTGGAGGCTGATCTGTGTCCTCAGGGTCACCTGAGTGGTGCAAATGGATGTGGAGCCTTCTTGGAACTGCTGAAAGGACTGTGTGGTAGACTGGGGATAGATGGTGTTGTATCCCTCCCCCTCTGTTGAGAGAGGGCTGTTCAGTTTTAACCTAGATGGCCTCTTTGACCCCTCTTTCAAACCAGCGGTCCCCTCTGTCCAAAATGTGGACTTTGATATCTTCGAAAGAGCGTCCTTTGTCTTTTAAATGAAGATGGACTGCTGAATCTTGTCCTGATGGGTTTGTCGTTCTATGTTGTGCCAGTGCTTTTATGAAAAAGCATCTTTGGGATCCCAGTCAAACCTTTGTCCAGTCTGTTTTTGAACACCTCCAGTGATGGAGCATCCACAACCCCAGCAGGCAAGCTATTCCATTGGTTAGTTGTTACTCACTGTCCTTACTTCTAGGTTGGATCTCTCTTTAGCTAGCTTCCACCCATTACTTTTATTCATTATTAAATAAGTATGAACTGCTAAATTATGGTTAAGCATTGCTGTGTGGTGGTTCACGGTCCTCATCCAATTGACTCTTTTAATGTATCTCCTCCTCCTCCTCCTCCTCCTCCTCCTCCAATCCCATTCTCTTCTAGCACTGATGATGTTACCTAGTTGGGTAATGAAACTTCTGCAAGAAAGAAACCAAAGTCAGAAAATACTGAAGATCTCCTCTTCTTCCTTCTTCTCCTCCTCCTCCTCCTCCTCCTCCTCCTCCTCCTCCTCCTCCTCCTCCTCCTCCTCCAATCCCATTCTCTTCTAGCACTGATGACGTTAGCTAGTTGGGTAATGAAACATCTGCAAGAAAGAAACCAAAGTCAGAAAGTACTGAAAATCTCCTCCTCTTCCTCCTCCTCCTCCTCCTCTCCACACATCCCATTCCCTTCTAGCACTGATGATGTTATCTAGTCGGGTAATGGAATGTTTGCAAGAAAACAAGCAAGCCCAGAGACCCCCAAGGAACCCTCATTTCAATCCTGAGCTACAAATATGCTCCTTCATCGGAACTAGAAATGTCTAGCCTGATGAAAAGAAGGACTTGGGGGGTCATACGATAGCATCTTCCAATATCTGAGGGGCTGTCACAGAGAAGAGAGGGTCGACTTATTCTCCAAAGCACCAGAGGGTAGGAGAAGAAACAACCGATGGGAGAGCATGAAAGAGAGATCCAACCTAGAACTAAGAAGAAATTTTTACCACAATAAGGAGAATGAAGCAACGGAACAGTTTGTCTCCTGGAGTTGTGGGTGCTCCATCACTGGAGGGTTTCAGAAAATAAACTGGACAACCATTTGTCTGGAATGGTATTAGTCAGTGGAACAGCCTGCCTCCAGAAGCTGTGGGTGCTCCAACACTGGAGGCTTTTAAGAAGAGACTGGACAGTCATTTGTCTGAAGTGATATAAGGTCTCTTGCTTGAGCCGGGGATTGGCCTAGATCAGCGGTAGGCCACCTTGGCTCTTTTATGACTCGTGGACTTCAACTCCCAGAATTCCTAAGCCAGCATAATCTTGGGTGGTATAGAGAGCAAATTGAGGCCTTCTTCCCTCTGACAGCCCTTCAAGTACTGGAAGAGGCTATGAGGTCTCCCTAAGCCAGGGATAGGCTACCTTGGCTCTTTTATGACTCATGGACTTCAACTCCCAGAATTCCTGAGCCAGCATGACTCAGCTTGGAAACCTCTTCCTTTCCCCTCAGCATGGCTGGCTCAGGAATTCTGGGAGTTGAAGTCCACGAGTCATAAAAGAGCCAAGATTGCCTGCCCCGGCCTAGATAGAAGACCCCCGAGCTCACTTCCAGCCCTAGGATTCTGTGTTCTAATTTGATATTAACACAGGCTTATGTGGAAGGTTGAAGACGAGCACCTTTAAAAAAAAGACACGCATAACCCGCTCTTCCTTCTTCCTTTTTCTTTGTCTCCCAGTTCCCCCAAGGTGGGCTGCGAAGGTTGCCTTTTAAAGACACCCTCCAGGAGAAGCTTCAGGGCACCAGAAGGAAACGAAAGGATCGATTCGGGCAGGAGGAGCCTGAGCTTCAATAGTGACGCAGACGGCCCGACTGCTTGGGATAGCACGAAGAAGGAGTCCGCCAGGTCCAAACGAGGTGAGACATATTTTATTTTTACATATTATTCATCAGGTAGACTGATACGGCTCCCTAACTCAAACCTGGTGGCTCCAGGTAGAATTCAAAATTGACATATAAAAAGCTCCACCCTCCCCCATGGTGGCGACCAACACAATCAGGATGTTGATGTTCTTCATGTAGTCACTTCTGACTCTTAGTATTCTCTGGGCCAGGTCTCTCCACATCTTCTGATCTTGCACTACTTCTCTGAGTTCTCTGCTCTGGCTGGTGTCAGCTTTGAAGGTGTCCAGCCACTGTATTCTTTAGCAGCCTGGTTTCCTTTTGCCACTAACTCTTCCAAGCATAATTGCTTTCTCCAGTGAATTCCACCCCAGGACATGTGAGGCAAACACGATCATACAAGATACATTGGTACCTCAGTACTCCTCATTAATTGGTTCCAGGAGGCATGAGGTGTACCAAAAACAATGAGTACCAACAATAGTATCTATTGTTTTTTTAATATTTGATTGTCCCTCTGTGAGGGTGATGGACAATTTGAATATGTGATAGCTAACTAGATAGGTAGGTAGGTAGGTAGGTAGATAATTGATAGATAACGGGTGGGTGGGTGGTTGGATGGATGGATAGATGATGGATGGATGGATCGATAGATGGATGGATTAGATAGAGATAGATAGATAGATAGATAGATAGATAGATAGATAGATAGATAGATAGATAGATGGGTTGATGGGTTGATGGGTTGATGGGTTGATGGGTGGGTAGATAGATAGATGGATGGATGGATGGGTTGATGGGTGAATAGATAGATAGATAAATAGATAGATAGATAATGGATGGGTTGATGGGTGGATAGATGATAGATAGATAGATAGATAGATAGATAGATAGATAGATAGATAATGGATGGGATGATGGGTGGATAGATAGATAGATAGATGGGTTGATAGGTGGATAGATAGATAGATAGATAGATAGATAGATAGATAGAGGATGGGTAGATAGATAGATAGATAGATAGATAGATAGATAGATAGATAGATAGATAGATAATGGATGGGTTGATGGGTGGATAGATGGATGGATGGGTTGATGGGTGGATAGATAGATAGATAGATAGATAGATAGATAGATAGATAATGGATGGGTTGATGGGTGGATAGATAGATAGATAGATAGATAGATAGATAGATAATGGATGGGTTTATGGGTGGATAGATAGATAGTTAGATAGATAGATAGATAGATAGATAGATATAGATATAGATAGATAGATAGATAGATAGATAGATAGATAGATGGATGGATGGATGGATGGATGGATGGATGGATGGATGGATGGATGGATGGATGGAGGATCACCAGGACAGTGGACCAAATAGGTGTGCCTTCTCCCCAATTGTGTGGTCTTCAACTCCCAGAATACCCCAGCCAGGAATATTGTGGGAGTTGAAATCCACATATCTTAAAAAGAGTTGGGAAACACTTCTCTAGAGCATATAAATGCGTTAAAGTCAGCATACAGACATAACCAGTGTCTTCAAAAACATTCCTTAGTGACCCTTAGTGGTCTGCTTGCCCTAATAATTAAGCATGTTCCTGCAATCTTCATCATCATTATTATTTTTTTTTCCTGGCTCATTGGCCCCTAGGGAGTCCCACCTGGACAAATGTTAATTGTCTTAAATGTAGGCAAAAAACATGATTTCAACCGAAATGTCAATTTTGGTTCAGAGGCAGCTGTGCTGGCCAGTCTGATTTGAACCCCAATGAGAGAATAAAAAAAAAATTGGAATATCTAAACAAAAAGGACCCCTGAGTCCATTCCTTGTGTCCCAAGTCATAATTTTTCTGTGTTCTTTAAAGCACTGCTGCATTGACAATTACAAATAGCAGCGGGATTTGTGTACGCATTTTTCTGTGTTCCCTGCTGCCTTAAATGCGTTAAATACTACTAGGTAGCAATACAACTCTTGCTGGTTTTGCCGTCATTTATAATTCATTACACCCTTCCAACATTTTCGAATTTATTACTTATTTAGTACTTTGTGTGTGTGTGTCTGTGCACACGCGCACACACACATGGGTGCATGCCTCGGAGACCCAGCAGGTATGTCTATCAGATCAATAATCTAGATTATTAAAGTCTCAGCCTTTGTGAGCAATTCATACCTTTGCAAACTCCATTTTTCTAGTTTGTTTCCCCTTTAATCTCAGTCCAACTGGATTCAAATCAGACTTAATTGCATTTAAATCTGTTGTTGAAATGGCCCTTTTATCTCATTTTATTCCACACCAATAGTCACGTCCGCAATTGAGTCCAAAATTTCAGTGGCTAAATGAAATGTTTCTTAAGTGAATTTTGCCCCATTTTACGGCCTTTCTTGCCACAGTTGTTAAGTGAATCATTGCAGTTGTTAAGTTGGTGACACGGTTGTTAAGTGAATCTGGCTTCCCCATTGACTTTGCTTGTCGCAAAAGGGGATCACGTGACCCCGGAACACTGCAACCGTCATAAATACAAGTCAGTTGCCAAGCATCTGACTTTTGATCATGTGATCATGGGGATACTGCAACAGTTGTAAGTATAAAAAACAATCATGACACTTTTTTCCAGCACTGTTGTAACTTTGAACGGTCACCAAATGAACTGTTGTAAATCGAGGACTACCCATATTGGGTAAGAGTAGCCGTGCTGGGCTAGACCAGATTAACACGTGAAGTGTTAATACCACTTTACAATGTCTTGGTAAGGCCACACGTGGAATACTGCATCCAGTTTTGGTCACAATGATGTAAAAAAGATGTTGAGACTCTAGAAAGAGTGCAGAGAAGAGCAACAGAGATGATCAGGGGACTGGAGGCTAAAACATATAAGGAACGGCTGCTGGAATTGGATATGTCTAATTTAATGAAGAGAAGGATGAGGGGGGACATGATAGCAGTCTTCCAATATCTCAGGGACTGCCCCAAAGAAGAGGGAGTCAAGCTATTCTCCAAAGCGCCTGAAGGCAGGACAAGAAGCAACGGGTGGAAACTAATCAAGGAGAGAAGCAACCTAGAACTAAGGAGAAACTTCCTGACAGTGAGAACACTCAATCAGTGGAACAACCTACCTCCAGAAGCTGTGAATGCTCCAACACTGGAAGTTTTTAAGAAGAGACTGGACAGCCATTTGTCTGAAATGGTGTAGGGTTTTCTGCCTGAGCAGGGGGTTGGATTAGATGACCTCCAAAGTCCCTTCCAACTTTATTATTTATTAAGTCTAACTAGTTTCTGCACTAGCCCAGTAGACATTCTGAAGAGGCTTCCAAGAACACCCTCTGCCATCCTCCAGCATCAGGTTCTTTGATTATCACTTCCGCGCCTTGTCATTTTATTCAAATTCCTTGGTTTAGCTTGTGGGGTTCCCTTCTCCACAGAAAGGGAAGACGGAACAAACAGACGATGGCTGTATCCCCTTGGAAAACCGTAGACAGCAATCTCAGTCTGTTTATTTAAGTTTTAACCAGAGATGGTTCTGAAAATTGAGGCCGGGAGCTCAAAGGGATGGTGGCTTCCTCCATGGGCCTAGCCCTATTACTTCTTCAAGGAAGAAGATGAGTCTGTAGTTCTGGACTTCACAGGAGAAACAGACGTTGGCTATTCCTGAAGATCTTGCTATTTGAGGAATCTTGTAATTCCTGCAGATATCTGAAATCGGGAAGGAATCTTGAAGGCCCAGGTTCCTGACTAGATTAGGAGATTCCAGCCTGTCCCAAAGGTGCATTTTTTCCCCAAAGGCAACTGGACTTTGTTTTACCTTGAAGATAGTAATAGTAATAGTAGTAAAGTTGGAAGGGACCTTGGAGGTCATCTAGTCCAACCCCCTGCTCGGGCAGGAAACCCTACACCATTTCGGACAAATGACTGTCCAGTCTCTTCTTAAAAACTTCCAGTGTTGGAGCATTCACCATTCTGGAGGCAGGTTGTTCCACTGGTTAATTGCTCTCACTGTCAGGAAGTTTCTCCTTAGTTCTAGATTGCTTCTCTCCTTGATTAGTTCCCATCCGTTGCTTCTTGTCCTGCCTTCAGGTGCTTTGGAAAAATAGCTTAATTCCCTCTTCTTTATGGCAGCCCCTGAGTTATTGGAATACTGCTATCATGTCCCCCCTTGTCCTTCTCTTCGTTAAACTAGACATACCCAATTCTAGCAACCTTTCCTTATATGTTTTAGCCTCCAGTCCCCTAATCATCTTTGTTGCTCTTCTCTGTACTCTTTCTAGAGTCTCAGCATCTTTTTTACATCGTGGTGACCAAAACTGGATGCAGGATTCCAAGTGTGGCCTTACCAAGGCATTGAAGAGTGGTATTAATACTTCACGTGATCTTGATTCTATCCCTCTGTTAATGCAGCCCAGCACTATGTTGCTGAAGATGCATCTTCAGTTCTGACTGAATGGTGGAGGATGGAAGGATGTCTATTCCTTGCAGTCATCTGGTCAATTGCGCTCCCTCTGAGAGTCATTGAGGCCACTTGGAGGCTTATCTGTGCCCAACCACTTCACAAACGCATGGCACAACGCAGGAGAACAAACCCCATCAGGTTTGTCTTTAAGTCTGCATTCGTCAGTCCATCTGCATTTGAAAGACAAAGGCCGCTCTTTAGAAGACAGCAAAGTCTAGATTCTGGACAGAGAGGACCACTGATTTGAAAGAGGGGTCAAAGAGGTCATCTATGTCAAAATTGAACAGCCCTCTCTCAAGAGAGGGGGGAGGGATACGGCATCATCTGTCTCCAGTCTACCACACAGTCCTTTCACCAGTTCCAAGAAGGCTCCACGCCCCTTTGCACCACTCAGGTGACCCCGAGGACACAGATAAGCCTTCAAGTGGCCTCAACGACTCTCAGGGAGAGTGCTAATGACCAGATGACGGCAAGAAATGTAAATCCTTCCATCCTCCACCGTTCAGTCAGAACTGAAGCTTCTTGGATGAGAAGCGAAATGTCTTCAAGGAAAAAACAAAGAAAA